CAAGTGAAAAAGTGATGATTTTGAGCAGATTTTCTTGGGTTTTTATACTCTTTTTGAAATGTTCTAGAACTTTCTAGAAAATCCGTTAGTATCCACTGTGCATTGGTGTATTCCCTTTTTCACCCCTTCCCTCTGGCTATGGTTTTGGTTTTCGTATAACATTTCAGTGCTTTTTGGCTGATTCCTGGAAAATGTCTCTGCTTATGTTTTACATATTTTGACAGATATTTGACAAGTTTGACATAAATGGTTTTAATTACTATTTTAGTTAATTAATATTTAAGTTATAGATATTGCAGTAATAGGCACTGTAGTCATAGAACACTGGTTCTAGTGAACCGGCTCTGAGGCGTGGTCTTAAACGGCTATCCTCCAATCAGAAGCATTCGTGCACATACTAGTGCACCTCTACTTCTATAGATTCTCATATAAATAGCAAAAATTGCCATAAATTGTTGGTCAGTATTACAGATCAGGCATTGGATTAATGTTTAACTAATTGTGTTTTCAATGTTTGACAAGTGTTTAAACTGAAAATACCAAAAATATTTGCCAAGTATTAAATAACTAGTGATACAAATGGTGTGAATGTGTGATAAAATTGATAAAAACCTTTGATATTTAAATAGCCTTAAGTTTACGCTAACATTTAGAGCGCATGTAATAATTGTGTTAACGTTTAATACATAACGTTATTATAAATACTATTCAAAAATAATCTCAAAAAATACAAACAAACATAAAGTGTATAACAATTAACTCAATCACTAATCAGGGAATAAGGCGTGAAACTAATTGTTACAAAAAAAGTTTTTCATTAAAAAACTACACGATTTTCACTGCAGTTTCCAATACCCTCTGGGCTTGAAATCAAGGCTTCTCTTCGCTTGTATTGACAAAACTGTGTAATAATTTGGACGTAATTTGAGATCCAATTGGCAGTGAATGTCAACACAAATGCATTGGGAATACAGTGTGTAATACAGNCCCGGCCGCCAAGCGGTGGTTGTGATGACATGCGATAACCCACACATGAACGAAGACATGCTTCTGGACCCGGGGCTCGTCATGATCTTCGCTCACGGCATCGAATGAACGCCCCATTTGTGTAGTTATCGCCGCATCGACCCATTCATCACAAAATACAACTATTTTTGCAATTATTTTAAAATCATTGTTAAAGTGAATATGAAATGAAATGTTGGACACTATTGAACGCAAAACAGTTTTTCTCTCTCTTTATTCAGTGTTTGGCAATATTTACGTTACTTTTTAAACATTTACTTTTACTCGTAATTCAAATGCAATTTGATTTTTGGTATCAATTTATTTGTTTAATGATATAAAGCAATGGATTTGATTTGATCTCCGATTCCCTAAATTGTAATTTTAATGTATTGGCGAAAGTGAAGCAAAATATTTGTAAAATATTATTATTTATAAAAATTATGATAAAATATCAATTATATTATAAACAGAATATTAAGTGAATGAATAATGTTTGACTTCAATGAATAAATAAAATATTTATTTTTAATCTAACGAATCGATACTTTACTGCCGTTATGTTATTTTACAAATCAATGCCATTAGTTTAATATTGCACAAACTTAACGTTATGAATGCATCATAAGCCATTTGATCCAATTAGTTAATGGTTACTGCGAACCACCATGGTACGACCATGGTACATTTTCAAATTGAATAGTTTGGCGCACAGCGAGACCACTTCACTAATGGTCTATTAGTACAGCCATTGAAGTGTTATCTGAAAAAATATCACTGTATTATAGTTAGTATGAGTAGAGTTGTCGTGAAAGTGTATCTGTAGTACAGATTCTGCACACTTGTGTCTACGGATGCATTGGATGGTAAGTTAAGCTTATATTTAGCCCTACAGTGCCTCTCAATGTACAGCACATACACTGCTATCACGTCATACACTGTGTCCACAGTTACGTCATATCCTTATCAATGATACTTTCAATTGAAAATTACATTTTCAAACCAATTTAAGACATCATTTAACTATAATATGCTTACAGTATATCTCTATGTGTAGTACTAATCGTCGTTACAATCATTTTGGATCCAAATTATGATGACTTGAGTTTCATTAGTGTTAGGGTTTTGTATGGAAACGAATGCATGGTTTGAGTCAATCGATATCACTTGTAGTGGTTTTGGCCTATCGTTGCATAAGTCGTGCCAAACTCTGCCCTCTTTTCCCCGCGATATGCTATTTGTGAAGAGCGCCTGAAGTATAGGTTTCTCTTCCGCTATCGACAGTACGTTTACATTCAGATCGATAGCATTCGCGTCCAAATGATCTCGTTTTATGGCAAAAATACTTTGCCTGTAAAACCACTCTTAGACTTATATTCATTCATTTGTTGCAATTTTATGTTATAATTCATCGCTTATTACTCATTAACGCTCTATAATGTTATATAACATTTATATTTTGCATAAATATAAGCATTAATTTTCGGGGGAACCACAAACTAGGCATACATTGTTTATTAACGACTCCCTTATATTACCTGTACTTAAATATAGGAAATTTTGTTAATTATTAAAAGTTTAAAATAGTTTTAACAAATGGTTTGTAAATTCATTATTTAATAAATTAATTGGTTGTAAAATAAATAATTTTACATAACTATTGAGTTATTATAATAAATATTTTCATATAATTTATATTAAAACATAAATTGGGAATATTTTAGGGAACATTAGCGGGAAGTGTGTAACGCTTGTGCGCTCTGAACAGTGTATGGAGTGTTGTGTGAAGTCATGTATAGCGTTGCCAGAAAATATTTTGGATATCCTATATAAATGTTAAAATTATTGTATTTTCTTGTATTTTATTTTTTAAATTAAATTTACTTAAATTTTGTATTTTTGCGAAAATTTGAATGCTTTTACAAAATATTTATAATTGAATAATAATTTATAAAATAATTTAATTTCTAGCATTAGTCGAGAATTTGGGTATATATTGGGTTGTCATAACTGTTATTATAAGTAAATTTAAATATTTAATTGCTAAAATATTTATTCCTGTATTTGTCAATGTACAGTAATGCCACGTTTCCTCTACTCTGCAAATATTGCCTATTGCCTAAATGTTACAGGAATTGGTGTACGTCTGGCAACGCTAGTGCTGTGCTGTGTTTGGAAGTGTTCGTCACTTTGGGCTGCATTTGTGTATAGCTTTCAATATGGAGTCACTTATGCTGTGCTCGAAGTGAAGGCAATGTTTATGTTATGCTTTGATAACACATACAAACTATTGTACACTTCTCTCGCCAGACACTCACCACTCATACAGACTCTCTCACTCTCTCCCTCTCTCTCCCTCTCTATCTGTTTCTCTCGTATATTAATTGTGATTTGATATCAAAACAATTGGCAAACAATTCAAACCCAATTGTCTCCAACCTCTGGATCCGTTGCGACGACTGAAGACAGGAATCAATAAATGAAATAAAAGGTAAGAAACAAATGATTACTTGTTTTTGAGCGTCAAATGTATTTTGAAATATAGGTTACGATTACTACTCATTATTTGTGATTATTATTACTGTAAATGTAATTAATAGTGATTTTTAATTATAATTAGTGTTTTACACACACTTGACGTCTGTGTTAACCACTATTAGTGTCAATAATGAGCGCAAACTATATGTATATCAATACTACTGTCCATTCAATTGGTGTTTGAATTGAGAGAAATTGAAAATTACGCCAAAAATTGATTTTTTCTAATGTTTTGCTTTCAATGGCTTTTGAATTGATTTTTTAAATTTTTGATTTTGTTTTTGTTTTGATTGCGAAAACAATTGAATAATTGATGAATTGTTTGATCAATGAATTGATGGCTAATAACCAGATGTCGAAACGAAAATGGGATGAGTTGTACGATACGGGCGACCAGTCGTTGAGACCCGACTCGAGTGACGCCAGGGATGACGAGCGGCCGACCGATACTGAAGACAACAACACTCGTGACTCGAGTGGCGGACAATGCGATGAAAACGAGTGCAACGATGGCATCAACTCTAGCGAAGAGCCGACGCCTCACAAAATGGCGCGAAATATGGCGTCCAATGAGTGCTCGCATTCGGACGATGTCTGCCAATCGATGTCAGTCTCGCCATACGATTCTCTTAACATGTGTCACGGCGTGGCCGACACTGGCTTCCAGTGTGACTCCGTTAACAGCGAGATCAGCAGCTCTGGGATCAGTAGTTCCGGTAATCTCGATGTCATGACATCGAGCGACCATTTGGACGACACCTGCTGTGAGGTAGTGGTGGCCACGACTGTCGCCGATGTGTCGTCGGCCACAACCGTCGCGACCGCCGACGCGGAATCAGATTCTGCGCACCACTCGGACGGCAACGAAGCCAACGATTGCGCCGATAATAAAGTGAGCTGTAGTTCAGAGACGGTGGCCAATGGACTGCCCTGTAGTGTGTTTGACGACCACGACATGACTCGCAGTGAAGTGGAAGTGCCACTCGTGGACAACGAGGTCGACGAACCACAACAATCGCAACTCGTCGACGAAGGCCAACATTTGGTCGCTGAAGAGGTGGTCATCAGCAACAGCACCGACGACGCGCTCAACGATACGAACGAGTGCTGTGTTTATGGCGACGAAAACGAGTGTCCCGTTGATAATAGTCGCGGCGAACCCGAGAACTCTTTAAGTGATAACTCAAACGCTGACTATAATTACGATAATATACCTCAAAGTGAAGAAGTGGTGTCACAGCCGTCGCACGGCTGCCAAACCGATGAGCCCGAGACTACTGAGTGCACGAGCGAAGTCTGTGTTCAAACAGATCCCAACAATGAGTGCTCGAGCGAAGACTGTGTTCAAACAGATCCGAACAATGAGTGTTCAAACGATGTCTGTTTGGAAACCGTTTACACCACAGAGGAATGTACGAACGAAGTCTGTGTCCAAACGGATCCGACCAATGAGTGCACGAATGAAGTGTGCGTCGGAACAATTGATCCCGCGATGGGAGTGGAGGGCAATGCTGTGACCGTGGAGTCGGCGGACGAGGCGAGCAATTCGAGTAGTGTTGGCGCCAGTGTTTTGAGTAACTGTTCGGCCGACGCGCCCACCACTTCCTCCTCGATTGGCGGCCATTCGAGCATTGATTCATCAGAAGTAGAATCGGAATACAAGAGTCTTCTGAAGACACCCGGAAAGCCGAGACATAAGAAGTCTGTTATCTTCGACGGCGTAACCGTTTACTACTTCCCGCGCTCTCAGGGTTTCACATGCGTTCCCTCTCAGGGAGGATCCACTTTGGGTATGGATTTACAACACGTTCACTACAAGTCCTTCTCAATGGAAGATCACGCCGAAGAACGCAAACGCGTCCACAAAGAGATTCTCGTCCGTCAGCGACGGTTCGCCAAAATGCATGAAAACCGATACGTGAACCCGACCTCGTCCTCCGAGTCCGAGGAAGAGCTCTACGACGAGATGAGCGATATATCCGACTCGGAATTAGAGGCCGACAGTTGCTATTTCCTGCAACCCGTGCCCATTAGGCAACGCAGGGCTCTATTGCGAGCGTCGGGCGTCCGAAAGATCGAGACCAACGAGAAAGAAGAGTGTCGTGACATTCGCTCCTCCCGTGAGTACTGCGGCTGTGAATGTCGTATATACTGTGATCCCGAGACGTGCGCCTGTAGTTTAGCGGGCATTAAGTGTCAAGTGGACAGGTATTGTACTTTTACATAATATAAGTGTTGAGTAAATGATTGCAATGGTGTTTGTAAATTACAGAATCAGTTTTCCCTGTGGCTGTACGCGCGACGGCTGTGCGAACGTCACCGGAAGGATAGAGTTTAATCCGTTGAGAGTGAGGACACATTTCATCCACACATTGATGCGCATAGAGCTCGAGAAGAAACAGGTTTGGAGTGACACCACTTCCTCCTTTTCACAAACCCTACCCTCCCTTTCGCTTGACTTTATGTTATTTACTTTTGTCTTATTTTATTTCATTATTTATTTAATAGTTTAATATTAGATAATGAGTTGTTTTTTATTTGTTATTTTTAAAGACACACTATATTTATTAATTAACGTTAAGTTGTTTTTTTTAAGTTTGAGAGTAATTTTGAAGTTTTTATAGTTTATAGTTAAATGTGATTTTGATTTAAAATAAAATATATTTTCATTACTGTTATCTAACTATTTATGTATTGTTTTTTGTGTTTGTGTTAGTCTCGAGACCAGGAGCTGAGCGCCCATCACCTCCAGTCCTCAGACAATTACGTCAGTTCCAGCAGTTATTCAAATAATCACCAAATGATATCCAATGCGATGAATTGTGCCAATTCTCAAACCATCAATAACTTCATGCCATCGATCACTCACACGAGCACTTCGACCGCAACCAGCAATTCGATGAATCCGTCGGAACCGACCACTAATTCCAACAGCAATTCAATGGACGCATACAACACATCGCCGTTTAGTCCGGACGACAGCTCCTATTCGGAGAACTCGGACTATACGAGCGATGAATACGACGACTCAGACGCTAATGAGTACCAGAAGTTTACGGCACAAACACTACAGCAACCGATGAACTCTTTATCGCACACGACTACAGGCACCGCCTCTTCGAGCACGATATCATCGTCAACGACGGCCGCATTGCCTCCCTTTCCCACAATCAGTGGCAACACTGGTGTGAATGGAGTGGTCAACAGTCATAACAATTCATTTCTAACGTTCACACAAAACGGACAGTTCGTCGCCACAAACCAGTTGTCCTCAGCCGCGCGCACACTCACTGCACAATCCTTTACACCACAGTATGTAATACATCCGCAACTCTATAACTATACAGATATATATCAAAGACATTACGTATTATCAAACGCTACCGCGACTACCAGTGCGGCGGTTAATTGCTCGCCAAATATAGCTAACATAGCTACTCATCCACTGATTGCAAACAATAATAATTTGCAAACAAATAATAGTAATTGTTGTGAAGTTATTGCTGTGAATAACTGTAACGAAGACGTACACCAGTACACAGACCTGAGCCTCTCGATAGCTTCCTCATCAGCCGCTGAGAGTCTTCACGGGCTGTTGTCTGCGGCGGCGGCCACTGCCAGCATCACTGAAGACAATCGTCTCACACCTGTTTCGTTCAACAGCGACGACCCGTTGAGCGAAAACCAACACTTAATGGCCAAAGAGAGCGCCGAATCTCAGGAGTCGTCGTCCTTCACGTCGTCCGACTCTTCCGAAGGCGACCACCATTTGTTGGTCGACGCGACCGAACACACCGTCAAGTCATCGGAGGACAAACCGGTGGTCGACAACTGCGAGAACTGTATTTGCACTGTATTTGTATAGGAGATACAGTCTTACAGTGTTTTCTATTCAAACCATTCATACTTTATAACACACAAAATGGACAAATCGTTACCCAAAGTATCAGAGCTAGAGTTGTGTTGTGAAGTGTATTTGTAGTGTACGGCTGTATTGGATGGTAACTAAACATATACTGTATTTAGCGCTACAGTTAGTGACCAGTGATGAATTGTCACAATTCTCATTTCACTATCAAATGTACCCACAAATTGGACATGACCATGTACACATTGTTTGATTTAATATATTATATATACCATTTTACAATTATTAACTTTACTGTATTTCCCATATATATGATTGAAAATTTAATTTTGTTTAATTAACCCAATATGTTTCTAGGTAATATCAATTTGTTCTGTATTGTTTATTTACATGTGTATTATTAACATATTATTAATAATTTTTAAAATCATATTTAAATTAATATAATTAGTAGTAATATTTAAAATAATTGATTTGTTGTTTTAGTATCGCATTCACTATAAATATTATGCATATATAAAGTCGATTATCTCGAAATATATTTGAGATACAAATTTTAGGATTCATTTTCTTTTTAAACGTAATATTCTTCATAAATATTGACAATAAAATGTTTGGACAATAATATGATGTTTGCCACTAATTTGCACATTACATATGACTTTCAGGTGTAATCAACTCTGCTATAGGAGGTGAGGGGCCCAACCATTCTATAAACCACATTCTTCATACATGAATTGTGATCACAATTATGTAGAATAATTCATAAAAGCAATTCTTTAGCCATTATTATCAAGCGTGAATAGAATTTAAGTAATCTTTAAAAATTACGGTAATTTTATGTTAAAACGTAATTTATTTTACATGGCATTTATGTAATTTATTAATAGGGATGGTATAGGTCTTTACCTCACATTTTTTACATTTGGGACATTTTTTGCTCTCGGCATCTAATGAGTAAGTTTTTTGGATGTAGATTTATTAGGTAATTATTACCGGTAAATTTACCTGAATGTAAATTATTTCAAAGAGGTAATTATATTTCACGCTATTTATATCAAGCTTTATAAAGAAGCAAGTTTTGAGCGCATGCGTAGAGCGACTCCATATCCCGTCGTCTCCTTTATTTGTGTATAGCATTCAATATGGAGTCACTTATGCTGTGCTCGAAGTGAAGGCATCTATAGTTTCGACTCTCACTCTCTCTCTCTTTCTATGACTAGTGTTTGCTATGAAACGAGTGGTCGTATTGAGTGACCAGTGCTGACGAGTGGCCGAACCCAACCCAATGGTGTCGCAGTCGCCCGAGAGTATGGGTGCAGAGCCTGGAAGTGATGGCACGACTGGTGCGGACAATAGCAACAGCAGTGGCAACAGTGGGAGCAGTGGTGGCAGTAGTGGTGGCGGCAGTCAAGTGCCGCTCAACCCCTCCAACG